GAATTGTCAGCAGAAGGGACCACGGCCCAGCTGACTCTGAGAGAAAGGTAAACCGGCCACCATCTGCGAGGTGAGATCCTGGACTTTCACTCAAGCTGCCAGCTCTCAAGAAATCTGTGTTCCGAATAACTTGGGGCTGGCCTGAGATAAGCAGAAAAGGAAGAAAAAGGTGGGGAGGGGTGAGAATAAAGAGATCAGCATTTCTGGATAATGCTTATTCCACAAAGGCCATGGCAGAAGGGAGCTTTCTTTCAAAAACTCCTAGATGAGACAGCTCTCATTTCCAGCTGAATTCTTTCTCATCTCTTCTGGCTCTTTTTCCTCCTTCTCCTCCGTCGGCCTCGGCTCCTTGAGCTTCTCAAAGCTTCCCACGGAAAAACTTTAGCCAATTTACTCCCCTTGAACAACTGTCGCTTTTGAAAAGCTGCCCAGTCTCTTTTGCTGTGATTTTCAAAGAGAAACTGGGGCCACATTTTCTTACAATGACAGCAAGAGGTAAGAGAGGGGAAGACAGGAGCTTCTGCGAGTGGGAAATACATCCATATATACACCTCCCTTCTGAGAAATGCTGAACCTACAACTCAGGAAAAGGTAACCTTCCTGGTATCTGGGGAAGAAATCAACAGAGAAAAGCAGAGAGTATTTAAATTTGGGTTGTAGTGCTGGGGTCATGCCCCTGCTTGACCTTGCCAGTCAAGACCAAAAACCGAAACCAAACTCACTGCCGTTGAGTAGATTCCGACTCAGAGCGACCCCTTTTGGGTTTCCCAGGTGGCAAATCTTTACAGAAGTAGATTGACAGCCCCATCTTCCTTCTGTGGATCCGTTGGTGGGTTTGAACTGCCAGCTTTCTGGTTAGCAGTTAAATGCTTTAGAGACCAAAACCAAAAAACGAAACTCACTGCCAAAAGACCAGAGGGTTACAAATGAACTGACCAAGGATATGTGAGCAAAAGACCAGGCCCAGCTGACCATGTCAAAGGACAGAGGTTGTCTGGCTTGGATAGCTTGAGGGCCAAGGAAGAAATCCAAAATAGCCTGTAACGACGGCAGGATGGCAACCAGGTAGACGGTTGCCTTTGCTGCAGGTAAGGCCTCCCCTGCATCATTGCTAAGGAAGGAGAAGGACTAAGGGCAGCCCAATTCTGGTTTGTTAGTGGACGGCCTGAAATAGTGGAGACGGCATCGCCTCTGCTCCCTGTGGTCTCTCCTCTTCACTATTCAAGCCAGGTGCCAAACGTGTCATTGTGCCTCATGGAGCCTGGCGTTGGCGCTCTCGCTGTGATCAGCTGCTGACTATCTGACAGAAACACTTTCCCTGATTACATTTTTAACTTGGCTTGTGCCACATTTGGTTACATTTTCAGGGGAAAAGGGAAGAACCGCAGGATGAGGACGTTTACAGAAAACACAAGGGTCAGACGGATCACTGATCACCCACCCTACACACGACGTGCCTTTTGCATTTCAGCCCAACTAAATATTGAAATCAAATGAGTATTGACTGAGCACCTGAAACATTCAAAACAGTATACAAGCACCATCTTCCACTGTTTGAATTTGAAAGGGAACAGGCTGGAGAGGAAAGAAAGGCTGCCTCCTCCCTCCTTTGGTAAGAGAGTCCCTGGGTGGTACAATGCTATGCTCTCAGCTATAACCTAAAGGTTGGCAGTTCGAACCCACCCATGGTACTGTGAAAGAAAGGTCTGGTAATTTGCTTTTGTAAAGATGATAGCCAAGAAAACTCTAGGGTGCAGTTCTACTCTGTAACACATGGGGTCACCCTGAGTCACAGTCTTGACTTGACAGCAACAGGTTTTTTTTTTTTTCATTTCTTTTTCGGTTTAATTTGCTATTGAGTCCCTGGGTGTTGCAAGCAGTTAAGCATTTAACGACTAATCAAAAGGTTGGCAGTTTGAGTCCACCCAAAGGTGCCTTGGATGAAAGACCTGGTGATGTGTTTCCCAAAGGTCAGGACTATTGAGAATTTCACGGAGCAGAGTTCTACTCTGCTCACAAGGAGTTGCCATGGGGAGAATCAGCTCAGTAGCAACGGGTTTGGTTTCTTTGACATTGGTAATGACTCAATTGTAGAAAGATACTTTCTGGCGTCATAGCATTACTTGTTAGTGTAGGGAAAGAAAATTACTCAGAGAGTTGAATGGTCTCTTCCAAGCAAGTGGTAAAGAATGCCAATTGGCCTGTTTTCTTACCTGTACATCCCCTGGTGTGGAGAATGGTTTGCTTATACAATTATTTTGGATAGGAGCTAATGCTAGGTAATTATTGGTATGGTGGCATCCACACATGTCTATAAACTGTTAGATTTAAAATACTGGCTTGGTGGTGGCTACTGTCTGTGCAAGAGAAAAACAATTAGCCAAGTCATGCATTGCTTCTTCTGCAGTCTGCTCTAGTTATTTGTCTGTTCTCAGGTCTGCAGTCTTTGCTGTCGCTACACACGGCTTGGAGCGGGCACACAGTTTTCATCTGCACATCCACGTGTCCTCAGGGCACAGGCTCACTTACAGTCATGAGAAATGACTCTCTCTCACAGCACAACTCCAAATCTGAGTCAAATTCCCACTGGCTAATGAGTCTTCCATGTTCTATTTTTAACCCTGGCATAAGTAACGGCAAGTAAGCTTATTAAGAGTGTCACGTGGACATTTACAGTTTGGGAGAAGGTAGGGTGTTCTCTCGCTCGGAGGTCCCAGGTGCAGCTGACCTTCCTGTTACTGTCCGTGAGCCTTGCTTGTGAATTTGAGTGTTGGAAGAGGATGACAGGGTATTTATTGCAACTGTCACATCCGAGCAACCTCACACAACTCCCCTATTACCTCTGAGCGCAGCAAGGTCACTAACCCCATTGGTCTTCTGCTAAATGACCAAGACCTTTTCTGGTCAGTTAAGGGTTGTGATACACAGAGCTGTAGACATCAAACTCAGAATCAACTGTATGTCAGCTGGGTGATGATGCTTGTTTTTTTTTTTTTTTTTGCTTTGGTGCCCCAAATTTCTCCTGGGCTTTCCTGTGGGACCAAAGTAACATTGTAAGTTTAAGACCACAGCAAACCCACAAAATGAATGCTGAACCTACATTTACAAAACAAGTCCTCAAGGCCTTGACCTTCAACTCCACACACAGAAACACATGCACATGCACATGCACACTCATGTGCACACGCACACATAAACCACCTGCCATAGAGTAGGTTTCAACTCACATAACACCCCCTGTGTTACAGAGTAGATCTGCTCCCTAGGGTTTTCTTGACTGTTATCTTTATGGAAGAGGTCACCAGGCCTTTCTTCTGCAGGGCTGCTGTGTGGGTTCTAACTAGGTTGGTAGGTGAGTGCAAACAATTTGTACCAGCTAGAAACTTCACATCCACTTTAAGCATGGGGAAATTTTTTTCTAAGGCCAAAATTTACTTTACGGATTCAGACACCCATGTTGTTGATGAGCTAAAGGTAATCCTGAAAGTTACAGTGTCTGAGAAGTCATCTCAAAGTGCCTTTTTATTGCACACAATTAGCAATGGAATGGAGAACCACTTTCTTTCTAATAGAAAATCATGAGCCATGAGCTGCAATTGAAATTCACTACAGCGATTTCCACCAAGAACTCTGCAAGCCTTCCTCTTTCTCCTTTCCGAAGGCTTTTTTCTTTTCTCCTGTCTTCAGTAAGTCTCAGCAGTGCAGAGTAATGAGCAAACAGTTAACCGGGCATCCGACACTGAGTTATAGAAGACATTTATGACCTGCCCATCCTCCCCGGGGAATAGAAAACCACCCGATGATACCTCATTTTGAAATTTCTTGTATTAAGGAAAGTGACGGGTGCGGCGTGAGTGAACTCTGGCTGTGAGAGACATTTAAAACAAGTTTTATACTTCAAAACGGAGTCCTTAACACACGACGGCTTTCTGCCATTAGCTGGTCTCAGCAACAACCATCCACTTTCTCTAACATGCGGCCTTCTTTTACAAAAGCATCCTTCTTAATCTTGCTCTATAGGCGCTCTGGTGGTATAGTGCCTAAGGCACTTGACTGCTAACCAGAAGGCTGGCGGTTCAAACCCACCAGCCACTCCTCAGAAGGAAGGCTGGGCAATCTACTTTCATAGTGACTGCCTTGAAAACCCAAGGAGGGGTCGCTAGGAGTGGGGTTCGACTGGACGGCAGTGAATGAGTGAGTCATCTTATTCTAAGTATATATATGTTGTTGTTGTTGTTGCTGTGTGCCGTCGAGTCGGACCCGACCCATAGCGACCCCTCTTTGGGTTGCTGAGGCAGTATCACTACGGAAGTAGATTGCGCCATCTTCCTTCCGAGGAGTGGCTGGTGGGTTTGAACCGCCAGCCTTCTGGTTAGCAGTCAAGTGCCTTAGGCACTACGCTACCGGAGCTCTTCTCAGACTCAAGTCAGCCCAAATCACCACGGTAATAAAACTGCCTTCAAGTTACAGTACCCTCCAGAGAGGGATAAGCCACGTTTTAAATAGGAACAGAGAGGTGGCTGTGGCAGGGAAATGACTGTTTACTTCCAGACCCAGCTGACCTCTTTTGACCTCTTTAAACGGACACCAGGCAAAGGAAAGGGAAAAAAGGAGCAGGGGTTCTGGGGAGTAGGGTTCCTTTCTGAAAGGCGCCCCAAACTGCCCGAAGAGCAGAGGTGAGTGCCGGATTCGAAGCGGCCCGGAGCTGCTCTGCTTGGAGACCTCATCCAGGGAAACAGAGGTCCCTCAGGGGCTTCCCGGTCAGGACAGGGCGAATGAGGGACAAGGGATCAGGGAAGAGGAGTGGGGCTAAGGAGCGAACCGAGCACCTCAAAGGGAGCGGCTGGAGAGTTTCTAGGGTGTGAGGCGGCGCAGAAACTTCTTGCACTGTCTGACTTCGAGGCTGAACAGCTGGGAGGTTAAGGTGGGGAACACACCCCAAGGCAAGGGCCGACTGAAGGGCAGGTGGGGCGCGGCGGGGAGCCCGGGCGGGGTCTCACCTGTTCCAGCGGGCCACTTTCCTCCGGTAATACCGCAGCGCCTCCTGGCTGGCCAGGAGCGAGTCTTCGGGCCCTTGGAGAGGCGGCTCCTCCGGGACGCTGTAGAGCGGGTGCGCGAAGAGGGCCCGCAGCTTGGAGCCGGGGCCGCCGCGGCCGTCGCCGCCCGGCTCAGCCCGGCGCCGCGCTTGGGAAAAGTTGCGCGCG